TGTCCTCTCAGTGTCACCCTGGCCTGCACCATGGCCACCACCCACTTCATACTTGCTTCAGCCTCAGCCAACAGCTTCCCATCTCTGTGGCCTTCTGCCCTGCCAGTCCTCTTCTGCCTACTTTAGCAAGCCCTGGGCTAGCCCGTGTGCTCATTTAGGCCTCCACACACATGCCACCAGTAGCAGCGGGTGAACACAAGTGGCCTTTGCTCGAAGTTTGTCTATCTGTAGGGCTGACAGATTGATCTCTCTTGCTTGGTGGCTGAGTCCTCTGCAGATAGAGGGCACGTGCCCTGCCCATGGCATCATGCAGGTGTGGCTGTCACCTCCTGTGGTGCTTTCCTGACATCTAGGAATTCCTGGAAAGGCCTTGGCTGGCAGGATACTGAGCTGTACTCTATATTACTGGAGACACAGATACTTGTCCCTTGTCCTGCACTGCCCTTCCCCTCATATTGGGGAGTTCCTACTCATCCTTACCATGCTACCTTCTGGCAGGAAGTAGAGGCCAAAAGTCCATCTTGCTGGAGTCAAGCCAAAGCTGCCCTGACCAAATTTCCTTCCTTGTTAATGTCTAAAACATGGTGGCATTGTCACCGAGGTGACAGCCAGGAACCTCCAGTCACAATTGAAAAGCTCACAGAGGCACACTGCCTGCAGGTTTTCTGGCCATCCTCAGCCATGTCTCTGGCCTGTTGACAGCCTTTGCTTTTGTGGCTGCTCCGTAAGGAACAGCACAGGAAGGGCGATGTGTTAAGAGGACCCATGCTCCTCCCTCTGCACAGTCAGCGTGTCCCTGTCCGGAAGAAGAGCACTTTCCCTTCCTGCTAGCTCCGTGGATCAGATACACTTCCTTTACCTTTCCACCTTTTTCTCTGGGGGACATGGGTATGGGTACTGAGCTCAGGGCCTTACACCTGCTAGACTGCTGAGCTACAGCGCCATATCTGCATTTATGGTACCAGACAGGGCCTTGCTAAGTTGCTCAGAGGAATTTGAATGCCCTCTGTGGCTCAGGCAGGCCTCAAATTTGCAGCCCCTCCTGTCTTAGCCTCCCAGGTAGCTGGGATAACAGGTCTGACATAATTCTATTTGTAACATTCAGCTTATAAAATATGAAAAACTTGGGACCCCACAGGCTGCAGCATCCTAGGTGGGGACAGTACCCAGGCCATCTAAAACATCACAGTAAATCTCAAATCAGAAATCCTTTGGAAGCCTTCATGATGGAATCAAGGTTCATGCCCAGATCTGAAAGTGTCATGTGTCTTTCTCTTTGCTGAGACCCAGTAAGTCGTTCTTTGTGGCTCTGGTGTCTGTGCCCAGGCCAGGGTAGGACCATGCTTGGTGGTTTCTGCCAGCAGACATGAATCTAAAAGACAGTGAGCCTGATTACCAGCTATCAAGTTGTGTTTTTTGGAAAGTCGGCCTGTGAAGCAGATGGCTGCTCCGCTGACTGGCAGAGAGGCTCCTTTAAAGTAAGGCTTTTAGGCTCTCCTAACCAACACCTGCAAAATCTAATGCTCATGAAGGAGGCGTAATTGATGGCCTGATAGAAATGGCTCTGGGTACAGGTCATGGAGGGTGGCCAAAGGCTCCTATGAGGGTTAGGGCTTTGGAAGGGCTCTTTGGACCCTCTAGGGCTTTCTTATTAGGCAGCTGAGCCTCTCCCTGCAGTGCTCAGGCCCTGCCCATGTGCTTTTGAAGGATGGAGCAAAGGGATCAAGGACATATTCTCTCTCTCTCTCTCTCTCTCTCTCTCTCTCTCTCTCTCTCTCTCTCTCTCTCTCTCTCTCTCTCTCTCTCTCTCTCTCTCTCTCTCTCTCTCTCCCCCTCTCTCTCTCTCTCTCTCTCTCCCCCTCTCTCTCCCTCCCTCCCCCCAACTCCATGGGGGTGTGGTATGGAAGATCCTAGATGTGGTCTGGTAGGATCCATTTAAGAACACCCAACAAAACACCCCAGGGACACTCAGCATGCATGGGAAGCATTTTCTTTTACCAGAGGCAGGTCTGGCTTTGTGCAGGGGATTTAGGTTTTGGAGTGACAGGCTCAGGATCCTGAGTCTTCTGAGACTGGGAGAGCCCAAGTCTCCTGGGCTGTGGGGAGAGGCCATGCGCTGGGACCAGGATATCCAGGTCTTCTGGGGAGTGTTTAGGACTAGTGTGTGGAGCCTGTGCTTCCTCTTGGGGAGAGAGTGCTGAGAGAGAGCTGCAGCTTGGCTGGCTGGGTGCTCTGAGTCTTCCTGGGAGACTGTGTGTTATCTGAGGTGGATGGAATGGATTCTTCTACTCTGCAGCCTGCTTCCTAGTATGGAAAAGCACAAAACCCGGGATGGATTCATGGATTCCATACCAAGAAAGAATAATGGCCTGGCACCCCCCCAGCGCCCCAGCCCCAACACCCCAGTTTTGCTCTAAGTATGCCTCAGGTAATAAGAAAAGTGTATTTCCCTGTCCTCACTATGCAGTAGACATTACTAGTTTCACATGGGCCTTTGAAGGAGGCCACATCCGTGTATCCATGTACACCTAGAGGGAGCTCACCAGGGAGCCTGCATTGAGTCCCTGCCTTTGCCCCTCTTTCTGTCCTTCCACAGTGTGCAGCTCCTGTTTCTCAGCCCACAGACCTGGTGACCTGAGCATTTGTACAGACTCAGCTGCAAGGTTAGACTGTTGCCAGGTCCTGGTGGTACTAATTTAGTAGAGGACAGTGTGCTGGTTACTATTGTCATCTCTGACACTGAGTCCTAAAATTACAAACATCACTTTTATAAGTCTGTGGATTCTCTGAGGCAAGAGACCCCACCTTGGTTTTTGTATGTGACACACACACACACACACACACACACACACACACACACACACACACACAGAGAGAGAGAGAGAGAGACAGAGAGGGAGACAGACAGAGAGAGAGAGAGAGAGAGTTTGATGAACCAATAGAAAAACAAATATGTTTTGTTTAATTTTTAATGGAGACTAGGCCAGTAATGTTCACATTTTGTTTGCTCTTCATTGCATCTAAAGCTGCTGAAACAAAGGACATTAGTGCAGGTATGGGCACTGAGAGTCTGGGCAAAGTTCCACTCTGACCCAGGTGCTGGGTGGGTAGTGTTGGGACGTGTCCCCACTCTCTCTGAGCCTCAGCATCCTCCCGACCGACGGGATGGGGGTGAGTCTGGACATTTTAGTATGCATTTCATGCCTTTTGAAACAGAGAACAAGATGGCCTTGACCTTTGAATGATGTGTCTGAAGAACCAATACAGGAACCAGGAGTTTCAAACAGAAGGTATACTTGACCTGTAGCTGATGGGATTGAAGTCATGTGATTGCGGTAGAAGCCACTGGTGGTTAGCTATGTTTTCAAGCATTTTTTTTAATGGAGGTTAGAGAGGTGATTCAGTGGGAGAAGTGGTTACCATACTAATCCACCAGGACAGGACTTTGGACCCCTGTACCCACTTAAATGTCAGGTGGATATGCCAGCCCTTGGGAGACAGAGATTGGGAGATCCCTGGAACAAGCTTCTAGCTACACTAGCCAAATCAAGTTCTGGGTTCAAGTGAGAGACCCTGCCTTTGTTTATAAAATGAAGTTGATTGAGGAAGAATAATGACATCAACCCCTGTTCTCTCCCCCCCAATCTCACACACTCACACATATACACTCACACTCAAACACACTCACTCTCTCTCACACACACACCACACTTTTGCCACAAGTAGGCAACAAGTGAATGAGTCACATAGAAACTTTTCTGATACTCTTTTCTTTGAAATCTTGGTTTCTTACACCGCAGTCATTCATTCTTATACCACTTTCACTGACATGAACACAACAAATACCCCTGAAATTTTGTGGTGAGATTAGAGTGAGTAGCTGGAGAGACCTTCACAGCCACCTGCACCTTGCCTAGATGTACCCTCCAGGGAACTGTGGCCTTTCAGGCCAGGAGAAGACCCCCATCTGCACCTGGAGAGAGGCGGGGAGGGTGTGTGTTGCATTTCCCTCCTGGATCCAGTAAACAGGATGACTGAAGCAGCGCATCTGTGTTCAGGATGGTCTGAAGAACTGGCCTGATGATTGCATATAAATCCTGTATTACACGGGGTAGGGCCACAGGTGAGCGTTTGTGGGAGGTGAGGGCCAGGAAGTAGGGGGCATGAAGATGAAGGGAAGGAAATACAGCTTTTAGACACTCATGGTGTTTTAACCCGTTCCAGTTGCCCCCAAAGTGCTAATCTAAGCTAGAGAACTGTTATTTCCATCCTAAAGTCGGAGAACCTAGATGGTTAGGAAGGAGAGGAGCCTGGTAAGTTGCTCTTCCTGGTTCAAAGCCTGCTGCTCAGGTAGCAGATTTCTATTTTGGAAAATGCCCTATACATTATCTTAGAGACATGCTGGCCCAGTACCTCAAGGAACAACTTTTTTGTTGTTATCTTTTAAAATTATTTTTTTATTTACACCAGGCATCCTTGGAGGTCACAAGCGGGCCTCAGCTCCTGTGGATCTGGAGTTACAGATGGTTGTAATCCCTTGTGTGGGTTGTGGGAAGCTAATGTCATCTTCTAGGAGCAGTCAGTGCTCCTAACTGCTGAGCCATCCAGCTCCTCTGTTTTCTAGGAACTGAATTAACCATTAGAGGTTACTGGTTATAAAAAAAATAGTTGTTATTGTTGAGATCCTTGTTGGTGGGTGGCCTGAATTACTGGTCTCAAACTTACGATCCTTCTGCCTCAGCCCTGGAAGTGCTTTTTCAGCAAGTCATTTGAGTTTCTAAGTGCACCGCTAGCAAAGGCCTCAGATGACCCTGCAGTAAATGGTATAGGTTTACTGCGCCCGGTTGATCCGGTTCGCGCGGCAAGAATCCAGCCCAGCTCTTGGGCCTTCCCTTCGCCGCGCTCGCCGCCGCCTCCGCGCTCCCGGGACCCGCAGGCCCCGCTGGGCGCGCGGCCCGCAGTCTCCGCACGTCGGCCTCCGCCCGCCCGCCCCGCCCCGGCGCGCATTTCCATTTTAAACCGCTGCCCGCCCGACCGCCCGCCCCTCGACGGACCGCGGCGGGCGCAGCTACCCGCAGGCCTCCATCCCCGGGATAGGCGGAGGCTGCGGGACCGCCGAGCTGTGCAGGAAAAGGCCGTGGGATGCGCTTGGGCCCCGCGCCCTAGACAATGAAGCCCCGGGCGCCGCCGCCTGCAGTGGGTCCTGCGCGCCCAGGCCGCACCTGCCGGCGAGGCGCGTTCCGCGCCTGAGCGCCCCCCCCAGCCCCCCATGGCTCGGCTCCCCGGGTGCGGACCCCGGCACTCGGGCCGCGTGGCTCGCAGGCAGGCGGACTCCAGGGGCGCTATTCCCGCAGCCTAAGCGCGGGCCTCGTTGCGCGCGGGGGGCGTGGGCGCCGCTCCCTGTCGGCCCAGGTTGTGCACCTGGCCGGCTCTGCGCCCGCGGCGCGCGTCCCGACGACCGGCGGCGCTGGATGCAGTCGAGCCTCGGAGGGCGGCGCGGAGGCCGCGGCCCCTGGGGATATGTACCTGCTGGACGGCAGCGGCGAGCCCGCGTCGCCGCCGGCGGACGCGATGCCGCGCGGGACGCCCCCCAGGAAGACTGTCTACCGCATCTCGGTGACCATGGTCAGGAAGGAGCAGCTGGCCACTCCAGCTCCGCTCCCCACTCGGCGTCTCCGGTCCGCGCGGTCCCCGGACGCGCCCGGGCTGCTGGAAGAGGAGGCCGAGGATGCGGCGGCTGAGGATCCTGAGGCCGGGCCGCGCGCCTGGGACTTCCGCGCCTTCCGCACACGCAGCACCGGGCAGCTGGAGCTCGGGCGGCTGAGGCCATGCACCCGCGGCGTGGAGCCCACTGACCTGATAGGCAGCCCCTCGGCCGAGGGGCCCAGCAGCCCTGATGGGGAAGAGCCTCGGGCCGCGCCCCTGCGGCGGAGTCTCAGCTTCAGGCACTGGAGCGAGCCCGAGGCGCCGCGGAGCCCTGCGCTGAGCAGCGGGAGGCGCCACAGCAGCTCCGGGAGCCTGGCATGGGTGCCCGACGACGAGGTCGAGGCTGAGGTCGGCCCGGAGCTGGTGACCGGAGCGCAGCCGGTGGTGGAGAAGCGCAACACCTTGGATGTAGGCGAGGTGCTCAGCAAGAACGATGCGCTTTCGGACCTGGAGCGCTGGGAGCGCAGCAAGAGCAAGAACCGCACGCTGGACAACAGCGACCTGCAGCGGCTAGAGCGCGCGCGGGCCGCGGCCGCCGGCCCCGGGGCAGCCTCGGAGCACCGGCTGCTGCGCTTCTTCAGCGGAATCTTCGCGCGCAGGGACGGTGGGCCCTCACCCCGCAGCGGTGCCCTGCGCTCCCGCGGTTACTTCAGTTTGCGGCGGGCTCCGGCCGACACTCATTCGTCTAGCGCAGAGAGCATCGAGGGTTCTCCGCGCAGAGGTGGGCAGCCCGGGGGATGGTGGAGATGCTCTTGGACAGGCCTGAGAGCGGTGGGGGCTGGGCCTGTGCTCAAGCAGCCTGGGGCCCCTAGAGGACACCTGTCTTCCCTAGTGTCCAGCCTGCCGGTGGTTGTGAGGGTGTGAACTTTGCTGCTGCTCACTGCAGCAGCCTGGGTGGTCCTGAATGGCTGTCACCCCAGGCTTTATGTGCTTTAACAGTTCTGGGCCTGTCACCTGGCCTTAGTGAGCTTGCCTAGGGTAAGATTACCTGGTCATTTGCTGCCCCTCTTGCTGGTTCAGCCCTCTCCATCTATATGATGGATCTAGAGCGCACCTTTGCCCAGATGAGGATGGGGGGGTGGCATAGCAGCCTTGGTCCTGGACTGTGTTATGCAGGTGCAGCTCCTGGCCAGCAATGAGGAGCTCACATTCCTTTTGAATTGATCTTGCCTCCTGTCTTCAGCGCAGCATGCTGTGTTGGTTTCACCATCTGAGTGAAGTGATGGCTGTCCTACCTATGGAGCTTTGGGTAGAGTCAGCTCATAGCAGTGGAGAGCTGATGACAGGCACCCAGGCCCCCTCTCGACACATGTCACCGGGGAAAGCAAGCTAGGGAATGAGGGGCCAGTCCTGCAGCCCATCCTGAAACTTCAGGGGTCTCTTGTTTCTCACGTGCCTACTGGGGCCTTGTGGAGAAGTTTCTGGGGGTAGATATTGAAAGCGGTAGTGAATTAGCCATATGATCTATAGCATTTGGGGGTCAGAGGTCTCTTGAAACCACAAAACATGGATCTGGTTTCTGTATATCACCTGAATGAGTAATTGTTATACTACTACTACTGTGTGTGTGGGGGCATTTCAGTAGAGGACTCCTTAATCAAGTTTCTGATTACAAAAAGGTGGGCTGATGGCCACGGAGGCAGAAGCCGTGGAGTATAGTGGTTCCTACATCATCAGCTGTCTCCCACCATCCTGGAAAGAGTTTATTCCAGGCTAGCCGACTGCCCTAGGTCCAGGATCACATTAAAACCAACCTTGGCAGAGGACCCATGGAAGACAAACTATTCTCATATTGCTGCCTAGGAATGTACTAGGAAGAGAAGGGTTGGAGCCAAACCCTGCCACAGCCTGCTTTCCTGCTTGTTTTATTTGTTTTGCTATGAAGTTACCTGTCACCAGACATGGTTGGTTGAGTTGCCTTACTGTCTAGTTTTAACATGCCTCCCAGCGCTTTGGCACACTCTGCTCCACTCCAATCATTAATTCCTCTCACTTTCTCTCCCTCCCAACATGTTTTTAAAGTGTTAGAAAATGGCAGGTAAGGCATTTGCCACCAAACTGGTGATCAAGTGTGATCCCCACAGCCCACACAGTGAAAGGAGAGAACTAACTCCCAGACCTCTCCACGTGTATCACAGTGCCAACTGACAAGCTCATCCATGGAATAAATAAAGAGGAAGGAAGAAAAGAGTCGGTGTGCACGAGTGGCTGTTGTCACTTACACAGAGGAAGTGAGAATTGGAAGGTCCCTGTTTACTCTAGGAAGAGTCGGTGTGCACGAGTGGCTGTTGTCACTTACACAGAGGAAGTGAGAATTGGAAGGTCCCTGTTTACTCTAGGAAGAGTCTGTGTGCACGAGTGGCTGTTGTCACTTACACAGAGGAAGTGAGAATTGGAAGGTCCCTGTTTAGGAAGAGTCGGTGTGCACGAGTGGCTGTTGTCACTTACACAGAGGAAGTGAGAATTGGAAGGTCCCTGTTTACTCTAGCAGCAGGCTGCATCTCTGGTTTTGTGGACTTGGTAGAAAACAGAATTAGTTGCCTGGGTTCCAGATAAGTACCTGTCTTACAGAGATGGGGAGAAGCCCAGATGTGATTGACATGAGTGTGCTTCAGCTGTACCTGGACACAAGTTAAAAGCTTTTGAGGTTTTGATTCGTCCTTTGGGACAAACACTTGAAAGCAGGCTTGCATTAGTAAAGGTGTTAAGTGTGTTGGAAGTTTGCCCTCTAGGGGTGCAAGTTTTTAACAGTAACTACGTAGTAATGATCTTATTGCTTGTCTCTGGGCAGACCTTCACCACAAACTTTAAGGGTCATGTGGAAAATCCACAAGCTGGGTGTGATGGAATGTGTTTTTAATCCCAGCACTTAGGAAGTACAGTTAGGAAAATTGGCCTTTGAATATATATATATCACGTTTGAGGCCTGGGCAACATCAGACCCTGTTTCAAAAAAGGGGGAAAAAAACAAAACAAGTTGGGGTGGATACCAGTAAGATAACGTTTTAGGGTCAGAAGTCTCTTAAAATCACAAAACATGGATTTGGTTTCTGTATATCACCTGGAGTGGAAAGACTGGGTATGAATGGGTAATTGTCACACTACTAAGTGTATGTGGCATGCACCTTTAATCCCAGTGCCCAGTAGGCTAGAGGCAGGTGGATCTCTGTGAGTTCGAGACCAGCCCGGTATACATTGAGTTCCAGGGCAGCTGGAACTGTTTCATAGAGAAATCTTGTCTCAAAACAAACAAACAAAACAAAACTACATTGAAAATAGTATTTAAAAAAAACTACTGAGTCATAGCATACACATATGCACAGAACTCTGGGGCCTCACTTTTATTCTAAAGTTCCAGATCACGTGTGTTTGTATGCATGCGTATATAAAGCACTACACTTTTCATTTAGATAAAGTCTTTGCCGTTGGTGAAAATGTCAGAAGTATCAGGTCAGTGTCCTCAGCACTTGGGAACAGCCAGTTCTGTGACTGTTGCAGCCAGTGTTACAGAGGCCCAGCTCTCAGGCTACCCATTTTATTAGGACCCTGTGCGGTTTTGTTTGCTTTTTTGTGTGCTTGTTTCTTAGAGTGTCAGTTGTTGGCGCAGAGGTGGGGGGAGAGGTGGTAAAGAGTATATAACTGTTCTCGCAGAGGACCCAGCTCTTGGCATCCACATCATTCCGTTCACACTGTCCTGGAGCACCAGCACCAGGGAGATCCGATGCCTCTGCCCATGGGCCCCTGCACTCATGCAGGCACTCATACAAGACACAAATAAACATAATTAATAAAGCAGCTCTTAAAGATTATCAGTTGTTCTGAATTTTCAGTGTTATGTGAAAATCCATGCCCTGAAGTTGTGGTTGGATGCTGTGCTGGGAGAGCAGAGCCTGAGCTTGGCTAAATAGTGGCAAAATCCAGGCCTGTGCCAGTTCCAAGCTGTTTCCCCCTTCCCCCCTCCCAGGTGGAAGCCTCTGCAGACCGGAAACACCATCAGCATCACCTGACACCTTGATGATTTCCTTTAAATCTAGGCCATAATGGCTTGGAGTTTATGGTTACAAAAGAAATTTGAGGTGCAGACTCCGAGAGACCCTTTCTGTCTAACAGCTATTAGATTTTGAGTTGGCTGTCAGAAAAGTTACTTTAAATCGGTAAACAATTTTTATGTCCTAGAATACATGGCTGGGCTTAAATGAGATGTGTCTGTTAGCACAGGCAGAAGCAAAATGGTTAAAATCTTGTTCTAAGACACACACACAGTCTCTGGATAAATGTGTAGTTGGTCTTCCTGGATTCCTAACTTAGGAGCTTTAGGGATAAAGGATAGAAAAAGCCCATCTTCCCAGGATGCTTCACTGGGTTTTCTTAGCCTGTGCAGGCTCTTCTCACTGACGTTTGGAGTCCCAGGGTTTATGTGGGTTAGACACAGTTTTCAGAAAGACCTGTCAGATCATGGGCAGTTTTGTGTTATGTGACACACGTGTATTAAGACAGTCTGTTGACACAAGTATGATTCAGTACAAGGAAAGATCAAATTATAAGTGATTAATAGCACCGATGGATGTCATTCTCTGGAGCCTACTCTGTGTCTGACAGGTGCCATCAGACTAACTTGCCACTCCAGGGAGCTAGCCACCAGGCTAGAGATACATGCAGGGTGTTTTACTGTGTGGGAGTATTGATTGCTACAATAAAGTGATTCCTTGATAGCTGTGACTAAGGCCAGCTTTTTAAAATAGTAATTTACAACAGATTTTGAGAGTACGTTTCATCAGTAGCCGTGTCCCTTAGTTTCTGATTCCCTTGCTTCTGTATCTTTTAGTTACTATAGGGTGGAAGACTGTTAGAATAGCAAACAAACAACAAGATCCTTTAGTGGCCAGAAGAAGGAAATAGCAATTAAATGAAAGAAAATTGCTGAAACAACTTGGCACATTGTTTTCAACTTAATTTGCCACTGGACAGAGTAAATAGTTTAGAATGAAACTTTCATTCAAAGGCTCTTATTTAAAACGTTTTGAATGATTTTCTACTCAGTCTTTGATGGCATCTGAATGTTCAGGATAAGAGCTCAGTCTGTGGTTTTTGTTGTTTGGAGGGATGGGCAGGGAACAGCTCTCTTCTGGAGACTCGACGGCTGCACTGGGTATGCTCAGAAGAGTGGGCTTGAGGGTCAGCCTGGGAATCTTTGGGCAACAGGAATCTTTGTGCTTTGTTTCTCTAGGTCTGTCTGTCCTCTGGGAGCTTCAGTTCAGCATAGGTCATACCAGCTTACATCCCCTCTCCCCCCCAAAAAAAATCTGGGCTTGGCATAGCCTGCTACTAGAGTATGCCGATACACCCCATTGCAGCAACCTGTTTGGCTAGTCAATTACTAATGGCCACTCTTTGTTTGGAAGCGCTGTTGTTTTGATATTTGCTCGTCTTGTTTCTCTGGTGCACTGACACATCCGTGGGGCATCTGAGAGCTAATGGAGGCATAGTTCTAGTCTGCAGAGAGGAGAAGTTACAGTGAGCCTACAGAGTGCTTGGCAAGCTGGGGCTGTTTCTCCAGTGTCACCAACACTGGCTTTCTCATGCCAGTGTGCTACCACAGCATCGTGTAGACAGACACCTGTAAGCCTCCACAGAGAGTTCTTCCTGGGCCAATGCTGGCATCAGCCCTCTATGAGCTGTGGAGCGCAGGAGTATGGCAACACATAGACCCTTGTTAAATGT